TGGTTTTGAGAATGTTATGTTGGTTTTAGATATCAAAACAAAACTCAAGCCAGACTGACGATACCTTTCAAGAAACAGTAGTATCAAGCACACCTACAAAATTTATTTTGCTTCTATACGCCTTTGAGGATACACAAAAATTCCCAACCCTATTTAAAGTGCACAGGATCTCTGCCTGGGAACCTCAAAATATGTTGTAACACATTTAAGCTTCCCAGTTTTATTGTGAGACAGTGAAGCCTTATTTCAGGCAGGCAGGGAAATACTGAGAGATTTGGACACACTTGCACAGCTGTGTTGAAATTGCATCTAAACCAGCAGATAAACATTCTGAGCTCCTCATTCAGGGACACAGTTGTGCACCTTGGACATTTCCCAACAGCACGTCAAGGGAACCTGTCTCCTAGCGCACAATCTGTGCCTCAGTTTCCATGGAAACCCAGCTTCCTCAGTTTTCTTAAGAAATCAAGGCAAGGAGGCTACAGTGAAGATATTATGCCTCTGGTTGAGATGTCTGAAGAAATCTAGGCAATAAGGTGCAAATGTGCATGGAACTCATCTTTATCTGCACACAGCTCAGGGAACCAAGGGTCCTGACTGGAGCCTTCCCTGGAGCCACCTTAACATGAGTTAGTTAAAAGCAGACACAAATTACCCCAAAGCAAAACAAATAAATCACAGGCAGGAATTTGGCAGTGAAAATATGACTGTCTCTCATTCTCCACTGAAATACACTTTAGTGGTTGCTTTACACTAATGGCTATGCGGTTGCCTTACAGTGTGGGCAGTAATGGAAGAAAAATGCACTAAGAAATGCACTGTGAGTGTACAACATAGGGTTGAAAATGATATCCTGACATTGAATCTTTCCAGAAAGAGGTTTTCTTTTTTTTTGTGGAAATAACATTTTATTGTGGAAAAGACTTGCAGGGGAATATACATAAATTGTACCTTTGGATAACATGATAATTAATATTAATTTCAAACTATTGCACAAACAGTAAAACATTAAATGATGTTCGAATGCAGAAAGGGATCCTAGCTAAGCAAGAAATAAGATATTTTGATCCTTTTCCCTAAAACTTCTGCAGTCTGGGCTTGAAAAGACTGTTACTAGGTATCTGTTATTCCTAATTTTGTTTCTTTAATTTTCTTCTACCTAAAAGGTACAAATTGCTCACTATCTTCAATTCAAGTATCTGAGCAAAAGGAAGTGGTAAAACTGCAAGTTTACTTGCTGTAGAAGATTCAGGATGTTCCCCAAAATGTACTGATCCTGGCAGAGGAAGGGCAAGGGCTGCACAGCTACCAACTTCATACTGCACAGGAGTGAAGCTGCTGTTTATATTGGTCTGCAGCACTGAACCAAATATTACTTTTTATACAATGAATACATTATATAAACAAAATTATACTTCATTCCCCTCATGATACAATGCATAAACTGTAAAAAAACCTTAGAAGTATTTAAAATACACCTTTCTAATTTTAAGGTATGACCAAAAAAATTAAGATCTTTGCAAATCTTAAGATTACTACAGTACTTTACAATAGTAATAAAAAAAGTATTAGTAATCCATCTTTTATATTAATAACTTTAAAATGGTTTAATTTTGTATAGTCAATGACAAAATATTTGTAACTCCTCAAATCATGGTTTATAAATATAGTACAATGTCAGGTATTCTATTTAGTACTTCTAATGATACTCATCAAATAAGTATTAGTATATTCCAAATTTTCCATTGGAATGAAAAGATTCCGACCCATTAGCATGATCTACATAGCTCCAGAAATCTATGGCACTCATGAATGAGGTAGGAATGCTAAAACTGAAGCCAAGTCCAGCAAAATGAACTATTTGGGTTCTAGACAGCCCAATGGGCTAGGTATACTATTTGTTGGTATCCCCGGAAAGGCTTTGTGAGTTTTGCCAATAGTTATTGCAGGATAATTTTCTGTGAAACCTCCACCCATCTGCCAGTACACACCTGAGGATGCAGGCTGCAATGCAGCACAGCTCATCTGTACCCACCAATTACCGAGGCACACAGAGACAGAATATTAACTTCTCCATAGTATCATAAAATTGCAGAATTACAGAATATCTTGAGTTTGAAGGGACTCACAGGAATCATCAAGCCCAACTCCTTGTTCCTTGCAGGACTGTTTGCATATGGGAATCCATTATATTTACATAGAGGTTGTTCAGTAGGGTTAGGCCAGACAAACACGCAATATTAAAGAGCAGAAAGCTAAAAAAGAAATGGTCACTATTTCAACAACAGGCTCCACTGTAAAACAGTCTTTGACATGCTTCACTAGGCTGTCGCCTTTCTCCCTCCCTACTATTCATACTACTCTCTTTGTCCACTGCACTTCGCTAGAAAATATTCCATTTTCTTTTCATTCTAATTTTTTGTTCTATTCATTACATTTCCTAGTAAGAGTAATCTAGGAAAGCCCTGTGAGTTCAGATCAGGGGTTCCCCCTTTCTCCTTCCTCAGCTAGGTACCTATTTCAACCACCAGTTTTAAGCTACTGTCAAGCAGAAACTCATACTCATTTACCTGGTAATATTTTCTCTCACTGTAGAGATTTTTCTAGCCCATAGTTACATGAAAACACAAATAAGTCAGAATGCAAGAGATATTTCTCATTTAAAGGTGATCTTATGGCTCAAGGGAAGGCAACTTATTATTAGAAAATTCATCACTGATATTTATTATAACCTTGCCCAAAGGTTGTTTGTGTGTCATGCTTAGAGGAGACCATGACATCCCTGAGGTATGACAGTCTCTGAACAATAACACTGTTGATGTAATTCACTGGCACCTTCCTCATGGCATCACTGGAGGATGCCTGATGCCCTTGCATCACACTCTTTTCAGGATTCAGGTCTTAATTAACACTTTGACTCATATTAGCCCCAATGGTAAAACCTCTCTGCAGTCATTCTAAAATTTCCTTTCAACTCCACTCCTGATTTCAGAGAAAATGTGAGCCATCAGACTCAAGACTGAAACTTCAAGTAAATAATTCAGCCTCATTACATAAAGTTTATAAACTGACAGCATAAAGATAGTTCTTGTAAAAGGCAGAAAGAGAACTATATAAGGAAGGTGAAGAAATCATCTTAGTAGAAATCAATAGATCAGGTGGAGGAGATAATAAATATCTCCTGTGTATAAAAAAAATGTACAGAAAGTACATTAAAACAGTACAGGAAGGTTTAAAATCAGAAGTCATTGAAAGTATCTGGGATAATTGCAAATAGAAAAGTCATAAATATCTGAGCTGTTAGGAGCTACTGGACCAAAGGATCATCCTTCTTCTAATTTAGTCTTCTTTTACCTCAGGAAACTGAATCATACTGCCCTTTTCAAAATGTGACCATGTGCTTGCCTAAACTGAGGTAGCACCTTTCTTCCACATTCACAGAAAAAACTGTTCTGGAATATTTCTTTAAGCAAGCATGAGATACTTATTTAATTTTCTTAAAATTTTAAGATCAAACTACCACGGACCCACATAAAAACCCCTGCATTAATCTTGTGTCTCAAGAAAATATAAACTTTTGCTGTGACAACTTAAAAACATCAAACTTACAGGGGTTGAAGAGAAAATAATGAGAAAAATTTTGTATTCACAAAGGTCTGCAAATGACTTACAGTATTTTGTAACAGTAATACAAAGTCCACAGAATGCCACACAAACACATGTCCACTGAAGAAAAAGAGAAAAACAAGAAAAATACTGGACCTATTTTCAAGTAATTTGAAGGAATGAGAGAAGCTTTGGCCCAGATAACACTGATGCACATTGTGTATTAGGTAAACAATGGGAACTGGAAGAATGAAATTCTGCTGAGAACCAAAGGCAGGACTATGGGTACCTCTTGTGGTACCTGTGCACAGACAACAGACTGTGCAAAACTTTATTGCCTACAAGAAGGAGAGTCCTCAGGGCAGCAGCAGCTTCACTCACACTGATTCTTCAGCTGCATGAAACTGTACTGATAAAAGGACTCTTTGGGTGGGACTCATCTCCCCCAGCACAATATAGACATTTATGTTTGAGGCTCCTCCAGCTGAGAAAGAGAGAAGTTCTTCTCAGCTATAGTTCATCCCATTTTAAAGTCTTGCTCAGAAAATGTCAGGTCAGTCCTGACTGAGGAGTGTCTGTTTTATTTCATTGAACAAAAAAAATGAGCTTAGGACAACCAGCAGAGTAGATATCTATAGTAAAGTGAATTAATCTCACTTTCTCCTCTCTTTCACTTTAAATGATACCTTCAAATTCATCTGCAAGCCTATTTGAATATGTAATTGCCCAAGGAAATACAGACTGCTTTTTCATCCTTTAAACCTATTTTTAATAATTCTACTCTGAATGAAGTATGTTTATTAATTTATCCAAATCTCTCCATGTGTTTGGCCAGTAGGAACCAAAGCAATTACCCAGGTCTGGGGTCTCAGAGAAAAGAAAGGGACTGTTGGCAAAAGCACTTTTAAAAGAAACAGATACTTTTTATTTAAAGCATAAAGAATTTTGAGGTCACAATGAAGAATGGCCTTCATACAAATTATGATTGAAATACAGATTAAATTAGCAAATTAGAAAAAAAAAATTTAAAAAAGCCCTGTTTCTTGTTTCCCCAAGCTCATTCCTGACTATAAAGTACAGTGATCTTCAAGCCATAAGCATTCATGTGCGTCACCTAGAGGAATATTTTCCAATCTATTTATAACTTAATTTCTTACTTGGCCCTGGTTCCTATCTGTCGGTCAATATTATAAACATCTGCCCTATGCCAACAAATGAGTTCATTTTTACCATGAAGTCAGGAGCCATCTTTCTACATGTCACGTCTTATTCACATCACACTGACACTGCCTCTAAGTGTATAGACAGTAAAAACAACCATGAAAGCTTGTTCCAATAGTAAACAAAGATTTTTTAAAAATACTAAATATAAAACTTCAACCATTAGTACTCACCACCAAAGCTTTAGATCTGTTACTGAGAAGTTTTTCAATGTCTCTGGCTGCAATTTCCACTAGCTGACGAGGGTTGTTTGCTTCTACAGTATACATTGCTGCATTTTTCAAATAAATCTGCAAAAGAAAAAAAATGGAAATAAATCAAAATGACAGTGCACATTCAAAATAAACCAAATGACCTGACAGAAGAGGCATCAAGATGTCATCTGTTCTTACTGGAGCTTCATAATGACTACTGCTAGGAAAATCCAGTTGGGCCCTGTGAAAGAAGTACTTCACCTTTCTGTCTGAGAGGTAGAAGCTGACACTAAAAATCATTTAATAAATCTTCAAAATTGACAAGTTTTAGTGACAAACTAACCAGCGGCAAAATGCTCAAGGAATCTGATTCCCATGGTGTGTTAAGAGAAGAGTAAAATGGTGATCCTTTAAAATGACTGAATTTCAAATAAAATAGTTATTGCTGAATTGCATTCTTCCTTGAAAGATGAAATACAAACATACCAACTGAATTAAATCATTTAAGTTATGCTTAATCAGTTTAGTCTCTTATCTATTTATTCATATGATAGTATTAGTATTCACAAGGAAAGAGAAGGAGGAACAAATAGGAGGAAAAGAGAGAAAAGCAGAAATACATAAGGGGAAATGGGGAAAAAAGATGAGGGGAAGAGAGGAAATACAAATCGTGAATAAAGGTTATCTCTGAGGAGCCATTAACTGTTTCCAAAGCAGAACATATATATGAAGAAGATAATTTTACTTGTTAATCAAAGACATACAGTGAAAAGCATGTAACCATAAGAAGGAAGGAAGAAAAAAAAAAGCAAAAAGTGTGCTTGCCTATCTCTGTCCTACTAGAACTGAATAAAGAAAAAACTACTATATTTGGAGTGGAAAATAAAGGAAAAAAAAAAAAAGTGTATACCTTATAGCTTGATGGGCAAACAGGGAAAATTAATTTATGCAGCCAACAGATGGCCCGAGTTTACCCAAGCACTTTGCCTGCATAGCAGTGCCTGGTGGGGCTGTGCTGTCTCCTGGGGAGCTCCAGGCTCAGGCAGGAGCGGGTCCAGCACTGATGCTCTGGCTGCCATCCAGCACGAGAGCCAAAAACTGCTGAGCAGACTGAGCCTGCCAGCCCTGCCAGCTCTCTGGGGTCAAACCTTTGGGGACCTTAAAGAAACTCACCACGTCACACCTCTGGTGCTTGCAGCTGATAAGTAACACAAAAACTTTCCTGACAACTGCAGTTATAGATGCAAATTGTTATCAGGCAGGTCCCATAAGCTGCCACAGCTTTTCAGCACTTACAAATTTTACTAAATTTATGTTGGGTCTTGGTTTGTTTATTTTTCTTCAGCAGTCGTTCCTTTCCACCAGTTACAGAGTAATTGGAACAAGCTTTATTCCTCATATAGTAATGATTATTTAAAAAAAAAAATCATTGCACCATGAGCAGAAAATTACTACAACAGATGACAGATCCTAATCAACTCAGATTGTAGTCTGGATACCATTGAGGTGCTTGATTTTCAAAACAGCCACACAAAAAGTTTATGCCTGGACAAACCCAAAAATATCTTTTTGAGGGGTTTCTGGGTTTTTTTGGGTTATTTTTATTTTTGGGCTTGGGTGGGAGGTTGGTGGGGGGATTTTTAGGACATATCTTAACAGTAGGACAGGCCTATAAGCCAATTATTGATCAATCAAATTTGGAAATAAAGACATTTTATTCTACAATTGATCATATCAGAATTTCATTCCTTTTTCTCTGAAACACATTAAATTTGCAGTCAGCAAACTATTTCGGAGGTAAATTGACTGTCATGGCCAGTCCTACTGACAAGGCAAGAGTAAAAATCAGTTTTATAGATCCAGATGGTTTGAATCAAGACTGGAAATTTCAGAGGAACATCTAAATTGAAATGACCATCAAATCTTGTAAAACTTTCAGGTTTTCACATTGTCAACAAACATTCATCCTGGTCACACAAAGAACAGACACTGCAACATACCAGGTGTTGATGCCTTGGTCTTTAAAGACATATGTAATGGCAAATTCTTTAAACTTCACTTGTGACTGCAGGTAGTACACCGTAATCAAAAGTAACTAAATTTACAGAAAAATGGAAGCAAGATTTTGTAAATGGTGCAGGAAATAGAAATAAGTTTCACAGAAGTTTTAAAATAATAATTTTTAAAATCATTTTAAGGGGTTCATATACTTTGCTTGTGAAAATGTTTGATTATTTGGTTTTCTTTATTTAATTATTTCTAGTCTCTTTTTTTTCAGATTTTTTTTAAACAATTTATCTTTATTTCCTACTCAATAGTGAAAGCAATATGAAAAATACAGTATAAACACTTTCAATTTGGGGTTTCAATTAAGCAAAAAATCTAAAATTTGTAGAAAGAATTGTAAAAAATGTCATTTCATAGTAATTAATCTTTTCACTCAACATGATAAACACTAAGCATGCCATAAGAAAAGAAAATTCAAGTAGAGGCAGAGTGAAATACGTGTTCAGTTAATGCAGGTTTGAAGCAGATGGATGACAGGGATGACCTGGAGATTGCACTGACCAGATATATAACAGCAAGTGCTGTAGTGCTGATTCTCTGATATTTTAAAGCCCTTAGTGAAATTTGGTTTCTAAGAGGCTGTGAGTGAAGAGCCTCAGTAAAGTTAAGGGGGATGTCTTTCTGCATTCACACAACCACCAAAAAGAAAGACAATATCTTATTTGACGTAAACAAAGCATGACCTGAGTTTGAAGGGACCGAAATGATCATCTGGTCCCAACCTCACAGCCATGGGCAGGGACACCTTGCACTAGACCAGATTGCTCAGAGCCCCATCCAAGCTTTTCTTGAACACTTTCAGGAATCTACAGTTCCCCTGTACACCTTTTGCAAGTGACTCACCACATTCACAGTAAGAAATTTATTCTTATCACCCAATCTAAACCTACTGATTTTCAGTTTAAAGCCATTTCCCATCACCCCGTCACTACACGCCATTGTAAAAAGTCTCTTTCCAACCCTCTTGTAGCCATTTTTTGGTACTGGAAGGCCACCATAAAGTCTCCCCAAAGTCCTCCAGGATAAACAACCTTAACTGTCTCAGTCTTTGCTCATAGGAGAGATGTTCCATCTCTCTAATCATCTTTGTGTCCTGCTGGACTAGCTCCAGCAGGTCTGTGTCCTTCTTGTGCTGTGCTCAATGCAGAGCAAAGTCACAGTGAGCCATACTGGTAATGCATTGAGAACCTGGATGGAAAATTTCTACTTTTGTCCCTGTATTTAATTTGCTCTTCCAGAAAAGTTTGACCCTATAAACCCCAATTTGCAAGCACTCACATTTTGCACACACTCAATTCCTATAGGGAAGTTATTCCCATATCCCAAATTTGAATGTTTGAAAGCTGCAGACTATCAAAGCATTGTACAGTGGGACATTTTCAGGAAAAAAATAAACATTTTCATCTTTCTTCTCCAGGACCAGCTATCAGAGAAAATTCAAAAGTCTGAATCACATAGCAAGGAGACCATCACTACAAGAGATAGGAGCATCATTAAATCTTTAAAACAGGCATTGTGGGTCCTACCACCAAGAAAGCCTGACTGAGGCTTGACAAATACAAGTTGTATTTGTCAGCGATTTCAAGAAAAAAAAATTCAGAACAACTTCCACCCAAGATAAAACCCTTTGAGATTTACACAAGATTCACACACAGACCTGAATCAGTGACTTTCTTTCTCCCCTTCTTTGTTTTACCCCATGGCAAGGCTGAGAGCACCAATCTACCCTGCATCTACTGCCAGTAAAAGATTTATCCTGCAAGCTCCTGAACAAACAGCATCAGAAATTACTTGGAACTTCACACACTTTATTTTCCTGAAGTGTGAGACCTGTCTCAACTACCAAGGAGCAGTCTAATATTCATTCATTATTTAGGAAGTGTGTACATAATTTATTTGTTGCCTACTACCCTTTTCTTTAATTCACTGTAGCACTGCAGCAGTTCAGCACAACTCTACACAGGGAAATACACACTTCAGGATATACACTTCAGGATTTGGCACCCTGGAACAAACTTTTCCTTTTCCAAGCTTCCCACAAAATTAGCAGTCTAAAAAAATGAGCAAATGCTCATCTCAAATAGCCGTAAAAGGTGTTATTGGCAAAGGTGTGCTCATTTGTCTTACAAAATACTATTTGGCAGGCTCCATGGCTTGTTCAAAGGAGTTAATTTGAATACAATTTATTAAATTGCTTTAACTAAATCAATGCAAGTTTCTATTGGTTTTTAAATCTAAATTATTTTTTACTACTTTTATTACTAATATTTTGATACAAGATCTCCAAATTGCCAGTAAAACCCTGTCGCTTCTCACAGAATAAAGCCTCATTGCATGACTAAGCAAAACCTGTAAGGTCACAGCACAAAAATGCTTTAATTCTTTTCTGAAGTCAATAGGCATGCACTTCTTTATTCAGGAAAGACTGTATTAAAATTGCACATAATGAACTGCAAGGTTTTAGGGGAGAGAACACGATGGAGAGAGTCACATTAAGGTGAAACAACACAACAATAGTTGAATGTGACAAAGATTAGAAAAACTGCCAGCTCCTCAGCAGAACGTGCCCCTCTCTGTTCAGCCTTCAAGGACATGTTTATAAATCTCTCACAAAGAGACATTCTCCTTGCTTCCCTCAAAGCTCGCCAGGGCAAGTCAAACACTTCTGCATAAATTGAGAGAGAATGAAAGACGTTATTACACTGCTCTTGCTGTATTGTGGCAGGCATTTGGGCTGGCCCTAGCACTGAAAATTTATTTAAACAGCCTTCATGCTGTATCACACTCAGAAAAAGAATTATTTTCAACTGCAGTAGGACTCCTTTGCCTCTTTGTTTGTTTGTTTGCTCTGCACATGTGAGTCACCCAGTTTAAAAACAACAGAGCCTCTCCTCCAGGCAGTGGTAACTTGGCTGAGGGCCCAAACATAGGACATGAACATGCCAATCTCATTTCCATCACTGAATGCTTCCATGGACATAGAAATCATATCAGCCAATGTCTTCAGGAGTTCAAACCCAGTATTTCAA